GCATTCATCGTCCTAGTGGAGGTGTTGAGAAACGAGTTTGTGAGAAAATCCAAATTAAAATGGAAACATATTTTTGTGTGTGTGTGTGAAATGGTGTGATCGTGCTCAGACACTCGGGTGTGGATCAAAGCAGCGGTGAGACTCTGGGGCAGCAGCAGATGAAAGAGGTACACATTAAGCTGTTTACTGTGGCGACATGAAAAGGTGTTTTAGCTCTACATTCTGCCTAATGAGGGACAGAGACGGAGGGTTATCTTTTTAGATATTCAGTTGCAAGTTCACAGCGTTTTACATCTCTGCTCGACATCAAAAGAAAGCACCATTTTCTTCCACCAAGGTGATGTGAGGAAAAAAAAGTGAAGTCCCCGTAGATTAAATTAGCATTTAACTGTTTCGCTGGAGGGCTAATTTGCACTTGGACACTAACTAGACGAGGTGAAGCTCAGGGCCTTTGCAGTTCTGCTGCATTATTTTGGCCAACATAGAGTTGGAACCAAAGATCCTATCAGCATGTAAATACATAACACGGTTTGACAGAAAAGGTATTTTTTGTATGTGTGTCATCTAGAACTTGTAGGAATATGTTTCAGAGAAAGGCTTCTTTTGTTCGCTGTGCATCTTTTTCAGAAAGGGTGAATTTCAATATTTGGTTGGCAGGAAAAAAAAAAAAAACTATACAGTATTTATGACGTATTTATAACTCAATGTCAAGCCAGGATTCGCTGCAAGGCAACAGCGCCAACAGCTGTTCCACTGTGCAGCCCACCAAAAAAAGTCATGATTTAAAAGTTTTTCCATGCAAACATGAAATTGGATCACTTGTTTTTGTTTGTTTGTTTATTTTAATGATTGTGAGGTAATTAGCAAAAAGATTCAAGGGAAATAAAAAAGTATTCTAACCCCTGGACTGTACATTTCATTGTACTTCAGAAATATTTTAATAGATAATTACCTCAAAAAACAAACTTTTGTTATATTTACTCTTTCTTTCTTTTAATAGTTTTTGTGCAAACAGTATTTGCACAACAAGCAAGAAAGTTTGTGTCTGAACTGGTTGATTATTTCTAGAATGTAAAGATGATTCTTGCCAATACATCATCTGTTCATTTTCCTTTAAATTGTGCCACATTTGTAAGAAAAATGCATTTGTGTGTTAAGTGTATATATATATATATATATATATATATATATATATATATATATATATATATATATATATATATATATATATATATATATATATATGTTGTAATTCCCCTAGTGGGGTTTCTTTGTGAACACATGGTGACAGAGTGAATATACTACATGCTCTGCAGCTGGCTTTACTGTAGAAAAGAAATAGTCACAACACAGGTGATAAACCCAATGTACAAATTAAATAAATAAGGCCTCAATGTGTTCTCAAGTCTCTGCAGTTTCTTTCCGCCCAGCCAAGTTGAGATCTTAAGCATAAAACCACTACTACGCCACAGTGAAAACAGATGGATCAAATAGTCCTTGTCCTTTATTTGGACTGCTCACTGTTATTGGAAAGAATCTGAGTAAGAATTACCAATTCTGGCCTCCTTTCAGGAAAACAAACAGGCTCAGATGTGATTTTCCATTTTACTGTCTGTTTATGTCTTGCAAATTCCTTCTACAGAGGAGCGGCATGGCAGCTTTCATGTTTTAAAGGCCCAGGGTGACCGCAGCCCTTTGTGGCCGAGGCACTTTTCCAGTACTAATGACATACAGTCACACAAGACTCTGGCAGTGGTGTACAACCGAGGCTGCCTGCCCGTTGTGTAATTAGTCTACCACTAAGTCCCAGTCTGGGGAAACATTCACAACCACATTAAACACAGACTGAGCTCGGAGCAGATGGATACGCTCTGGAGGAGTCATATGTAACACAAATGGCTTTCATCAGCAAGATAAACTGATAACACTCGATGTCTAATAAGACCAAGCTGTTTGGAGTCTCTGCAAGATTTTCTTTTAAGTTTGCAGCCCGGTTGAGTTAGCAGGCTTTTTAAAATTATTATTATTGGCATGACATACTCCAAACAATATCATCTTTCTCCAGAGACACTGGATCAGCAAGCTTCTGTTACGGTACAACCAATCAAAAAAAAAAAAAAAAAAAAAAGAAAAAAAAAACACCAAAATCAGGAAAAATACCAACAGTACAAATGCGTGCTTGGTGGTATATTAGGATGACAATCCTGCCATCTGGTGGTTAAAGTAGAAACTGACACAAACTTTATAGGTGGAAGGATTAAATCAGGTCACATGAAGAGAAAACATGAAGTGCTCTGGATTGAATTTTATGAAGAGAACTCCAAAATTCTGCATGTATAATTTTAGAAGAACAGAAATTTCTCACGTATTCACTCCAAAACGTAGAAATAAGAAAATAAGCTTCAACTCCAAACAGCACTGCAACTCTCTGCTGGTGCACATTTGTCTGATCTGGTGTATTTAAAAATGTGAATTGTTTATATTTGCAATACATTTATTTATTATATACATTATAAAACTATTAGACCATAATTTGCAATAATTTTTTTAAGCTCAAGGAATTTACAGGTACATCTGAAAAAATAGAACATTGGGAAAAGCTTAATACTTTTTGTCACTTCTTTCACACACAACCTTATGGTTACTCAACCAAATATTGATTTCTGAACTCTTCCTGAGTTAAAACATTGGAATTGTTTCTAAATTAATATGGACTTGTTTTTTTTTCCTTGCATTATTTGAGGATTGAAAGCGTTGCATCTTTTTCATTATTTTGACCAGTTCTCATTTTCTGCAAATAAATATAATTTTTTTCTGCTTGATATTTCAGACATGTTGTCAGTAGTTCATAAAATAAAAGAACAATGTTCATTTTACTCAAACATACTGTATAGCTTTAAAAAGTAAATTCAGAGAAACTGACCATTTTGAGTGGTCTCTTAACTTTTTCCAGAGCTGTGTTTATGTGCACATTTATTTATCCATCTATTTCAAAGGAATTGTCAGGGCTACTGATAATTGTGGCAAAAGAAATAAGGTCGACAGAGTTTAAAACCATATTTTCACAATTTTAGACAGTGCAATAAAAGATGAATTTATCTCAAGGCTTCTCACACATGCTTAGCAGTTGTGCTCATAAATCTTTTTCTTCTCTTTTGGCTTTTCCCTTCAGGGGTCGCCACATCGAATCATCTGTCTCCATATAGTCGTATCCTCTAACCTCACACCAACTAACTCCATGTCCTCTTTCACCATATCCATAAATCTCCTTTTTTGGTCTTCCTCTTTGCCTCCTCCACAGTGGCTTTGTCCTCTGCATCTTTCTACCGACGTGACCATTGTTCCTCCTCTGAACATGTCCAAACCATCTCAGTCTGGACTTTATCTCCAAAACCTCCAACATGAGCTATTCTGGTGCATTAGGACTAATCTTGAATCCGTTTTAAACAGAAACTACTAGGAGAAAAATAGCTAAAAAACCATCCATCGCACTAAGAAGTGGTGTCTGTTTTGTGCAAACAATGTATTTGTCCCTCTCTGAATAATGACACCACTAAATGGCTCTTTTGTCTCTTGGTTTACGTGACGGCCCAGAGGGTGGCCAGACCTGTGTTATGTTTAGGATTAGCTGTGGCAGTAACGCAAGAGGAACAAGGAGCAGGCAAGTGGCTTTTCAGAGGAGGCCTCAGTAAATGTCGCTCTTCCTTATGGTGTTTTTGTTTTAAGCAGTCAGGGTGCAGCAAAGTGAGAACTCTCTGCAGTAAAAACACATATGCTTCTGGTTAGGGCTGGGGAAACTTGGATTAAACAAATTCTTAAAAAAGAAAAAAAGAAAAAGAGTTAAGATTGTTCTTGCCATAATAAATGCAAGTGTCTGACAGATGAAACCACAAATCAGCCTCAAGCTAATATTTGGTTTCTCTCTCTTTCATGGTGTGAAGACACAACAGTGTGTGTGTGTGTGTGTGGGGGTGGGGGGGCGGATAACAGCTGGAGGCAGAAAGGAGAAAGAGTTGGCTTCAAAATATATTCTATGTTCTTTAAAAAAAACAAAAAAAAAAACAGCAAATGCAGAAAACGATTTCCACCAGCCATCAGAGCAAGATATGACAGTCTTGAAAGTTAATGTGTCTCATAACAGACATTCAACCTGTAAAATATGCAAATCTGAAATTCTTCCCGAGTGTTTTAATTATCAATATCTTATTCCATTCATAATTATCTTCTACGCCAACCAGTTTGCTTAAAAGTCAGGACTTATGACACAACAAAAATACATCCTGAAGTGAAACATGGTGGTGGCAGTATTATGGCACATGAATGTTTTTCCTGAGTGGATAAGAAACTCGATAAGAGTTTAGTAAGGAGCAATCCTGGAAGAAAATCATTTAAAGGGAGCAAAATTAGAATGACTTGGATCAAAGTATATTCTTGTCAACCTCGTGGCAAAAGTTAAAAATTGTTGTTCACACACTTCCTCTAGCCAAAAAACTGACTCAGATTGAACTAATTTCCTCAAGACAATGAACAAAATTTCCATCTTCAGACACAGAAAGCTAATAAATTATAGTTTATATTTGATCTTGGTAGACAGGTGTTACTAACTAAATACATATCAGTTTAATTAAATAAGGAATAGCAAAGTGATGTCAAACAAACCAAGTGGGACTATAAAAGACAGCACAGCAGGAAACGAATGAAAGACTTTTATTAGAAAATAACTGCTTCCAGGATGTTTGTAACCAGTATCTGTTTCAAGTCGAGAAATAGAAGAAAAAAACGGTGCTGTCCAAATTTGTGAATCAGCCTCAGACAAAAAACAAAAAAACAGAGTAAACATAAAAGTGGTAATCAAAAACATACCAATACGGGGCAAAAAGTTCTCAGCAGCGTTCCTCTTGGAAAAAAAAAAAAAAACAAAAACCAAAAAAACCAACTTCATTCACACATGATTCTTCTGAGAAGCAAAAATAATGTTACAAAATCTGTGCTTCAAAGGGTTTTTTTTTCCAACTGAAAGAGTTTTCTGATCTTTAACACACAAAGGTTTCAGATCCAACTAAAAAAATAAAATAAAATTTAGACCGCCTTTCGATGGTACTCTGGAGGAGCAACTTCATAGTCGCTTGCATTGAAGAGTGACGCAGAGTTCTTAACGAGATACCTGAAAAAGAAACAAACGCTCGTTTATGCTGCAGATTCTTCATTTGAAGGCTTGTTGAATAAGTTACCAGTACTTACTTGAGAAAGTCTTGTAGGTAACTGAGAAGCAGTGCAAGACTCTTCTCGTCCAGGGGAGTGTACGCCAGCATGGCCCCAATTCTCACTGTCAAAACAACAATTCACAAACTTTGAATGGATTTTTGAATAAAGAGGTACAAAAGTGTAAAAACTATTTAATTAAAATTTGAGTCAAATGGAATATATTTTATAAACATTGAAGAAAAAAAAAAATGCATCATTTACTTAATTTATATTTTATTAATGTTATTACCTAAAATATGCATTACATTCACAAAAATAGCTTATTTAAAAATAATTGTTTATGTAAATGTCATGGTCTTATGCTGCAACACATTGTAAATTGATCTGATATCGCCATCCACTAGTCAGTGGGGATGGTTGCTATGGAGGTCAACCAATCACATGTTTGGATCAAATTTCAAATTGCACTGCAGCACAAAAACTATAACAAAACTTAAAAACAGATTAAATAATCATATGCTGCTTCCAACATAATTTCTAGTTGCATTTCATTTTTGATTAGATATCAAAATATACCATCACGAAAACACTTACAAATACAATTATTAACTTATGATATGCAAAAATAATAATACATTTATGGCCTACATTCTGTCCCGTCTGACATTTGATCACCATTTTTCGTTAATTTAGTTTTTCTATAAATAATCTTAGAAAAAAATATAATGCTGATGATAAATAACACCTTTCAGTAATAAGTTTTCAGTATTTCAGTAATAAGTTAAGATATTGACAATGAGGCAAAAGGTATGTAAATAATCAACTGAATAATACATTGTCAATTTAATACTTCTGAAAATCTCTCAACCCACATGTAGGAGATGAAACTGAGTCTAAAAGCAGTTGAGCTGCAGTTGAAGCGTCTGAATTATTAATTTTTGTTGACTGCTGCTATTCATAACCATTCTTTATAAAGATTCTTCTTTTTTTTTGAGTGTTTACCGAAAAGTCTGAGTAGGTGAGGCGCGCCGTAGATCTGAGACATGGCTGTGTCGGGGTGGTTTGCCAGGATGTCTGCGTACTGAGGCCGCTCAAATTTGTAGAGAAGCTGCGTCCCCAGCATGACGTTGAAATATTCACGGATACCGGCGACCACCTCATTCACAGCAAACTCCCTGGGTGTTGAAGGAAAACAAGTTGCACCGGTAAAGACTTAGGTTTCTCTTGGCATTTTTGGAGCTGGCTATAAAACAAATCCTGGGGAAAAAAAATAATATGAAGGCAAGTCTTTACTTGCTGTCAGAGTTTCCTCTTGATTTTTTGTAGTTTCCATAGTCTTCGAGGACAGCATCAACGTTTTTTTTGGCTGGAAGGTGAAAAAGCTGAAGAAAAACAAATTGAAACATAGTTGTTTGGAAGCTTCTCTCTGTGGCTTACTTACTGGAACTCTTAAAAGCTTTAAATATATATATATATATATATATATATATATATATATTATTGCTGCAGCATAATCTCACTCTGGTTTTATCTATCTATTTATTATGTACCCATCCGGGGGGAAAAATTATAATACAAGGGTCAAAAAAAACTTTCAGTTAGTAATACGTGACTTCCTGTTTGCCTGGTGATGCAACAGCGACCAATTTCTTTTAGCCATTTTTAAAAATGTAAGAGAACATGACATTCAAGCAGACTGGACAAGTGCTGGTCGCTGTAAGCCAGGAAATGGGATGAAGAAAAACACCCACATACCTAAATCTGTACATATCTACAGCTATTTAAATCTTAGCTTTAGATAGCTGAAAATATAATTCTGAGGAATATTCTCTCTTCCATAACCTCTGGGGTTAAATGATTAAAGAGACTGGAATCATGAACTTTTTAAAGAGTCTTTTTTTTTAACCAGACTCTTTACCAAATGCAACGCAAGTGTGGTTAGAAATCTATATGGAAACATAACCAAATGTTGATTATTTACCTGTTTTTGACGTGTGATCAGATCCCAGTCATCCACAAGCCATGGTTTGAGCTCCTCTGGGATTTTTACCTTAACTTCAACTCTGTTTATAAAGGTTTCCTCCTAAGCAGAAGGAAAACAAAACAAAACATTGTTTCATCTGTGCACCTTATATGAATGATGTCCTTCAAGGATCAAAAATATGTTGTTTTTATGTTCTGAACATAGTTATAATATGAAATCCTGAACCTACGCTCTCAACAGTTGGGTCAACTCGTGCTCTCTTCTTCCTGGGAGGATGGATTGGATCTCCTCCTGAACTTGTTCCCTCTCCTGCTCCAGGAGCTGCAAACACACACATTTACTTAACACGTCTAATGCAGGCAAAAATATCAACTGTTTTAATTTAAATACTTTTTAATGTTTAAGAGTAAAGCAACATATATACTCACTCTTCTGTTTGTTCTTTTTGGTTTTCCTGAAAAAAACAAAAACAACAACTCAAGTTATAAAGTTTGATAAAGAAAAAAAAAAAAAGACGAGATGAAAAAAAATAACTCACACATCATTTTTCTGCGATGCAGCAGGGATCTTCTTATTCGGTGCAGCTCCCCTCATTCTCCCTTCTACATAATGGTCTCTAAATTGAGAAAACAAAAGCTTAGTTAATCAAGAACATGTGATTCTGATGAAATGAGACAATTTTCCAGACAATTAAGGAGAGAAAACAAAACAGATTAAATCAAACGGAAAAGATTGAACGCATGACATCATAGTGGACTTACTGATTGGCCCTCTGAAGCTCTTTCTGTTTCTGAAGGTTACTGTCCACATACTTCAGAACTCTGCTTTCAGGAACCCATTCGTCCCAGCTGAAAGAGAAAATATTATTTGAGTACTCAAGCCACTGTTACAAATATGCAAGTATAGACATTTATTATCGGAGCTGAACACTCACTTCTTATTCCAACCACTGTAATGAATGAAGTATTTGATCTGTTTGTCCTTGATATTAATCTTAACACACTGCAAAGAGAATTACCAATTACTGTCAAGATTGAAAGGAAAAAAAACATCAAGAGAGTGTTTATAAGAATAGTTTAACTAAGGCGGCCTACCTTAGCTTCGTAGAGCAATGGCCCATGAAAACACAGCACTCTTTCACCTGCATTGGAAATAAAACAGTTAAGTTCCACTGAAGAAATATGGAAAACAATAACAGGGAAAGGACATGCTTTAGCGCCAGACAAACTTTTTTATTTTCTTATGACCCTACAAATTATGTTTCTAAGATTTCTTTTTCCATCTACATACATTTTTTTAGTTCCTTAAAAAAAACACGCAACAAAAAAAGAACAGATGACTTTTAAAATATTTTTATCTAATTTCTGACTCAAGCAAAGGAAACTGCATCAAGACTAGATCATTGCGTCATTTATTTGTGATCTTATGGAGGCTCTGGAGCAATTTGCCAAGTTGTTTCCTGTTTAATAGCAACATGTTGCTATTTTGTCTCTGCTCATCTACATTATGTGTAAAAAATGTCTTACCCACTGTGTCAAGTATTCCTAGGGATTATGCATACAAGTAAAAGTACTATTCGTTAAACTAAATAAAGATATTTAATGATTACTTTTGCTAATTGATTGCTAAAGTGGTAATAAGTATATCCAGGCAAACATTAATTGATTCATTTTGGCTTTAAAATAAACAACACAACAAAAGAACGAAATGGTCAGCGCCTTCAGAAGGCGAGACGCATTTTACTAATTGTGACCAGACGGAAGTTACAAAAATTCCTTAAATTGTGTACAAAACAAAACTTTTCACTTGCTCTTTAGACCCGAATAAATTATTTTTGAAATAGGCAAACGTTGCAATACATCATTTTTGAGTTGCTTGTTTTGTCCGGCTTTTAGCTTTGAAGAAATATACCGGAAGTACAAAAAAACAGTCGCAGGTTGTAGTTTTTTTAAATCTTGCAAATAACTTCTATGGTCATTCTAGGCTTCCGTACACTGTACTTTATCAAAAAATGCATTTATCTTGATTTTAGCTTTAACTTTCAAAACAGTTATTCGTCATAGATGTATATTCTTCCGAGCTGATATGAAGATTATGGCAAGCTATCAAACAAAACAATTCGGTTCTTGGCGGGTACTTCTGCTCCGAAGTACGGATTTTTCAGCTGTAAGTAAGCGTGGCATTCTTAGCTTGGTTCGCTTTTCCATTAAAAAAAAAACTATAATACTATCTGTATGTACATATATTCAAAATGGCAACAATAGACAATGGTTAGAAAGACTAAAGTTAGCAAGATATGAGCTAACGGTTAGCTTGGTAAAATACTGTCAGAGGTGGGCGGTGAAGTCTCTCAGTAGCTAACGCTATCTGAATGAAGTTAAAACTATCTCTAAAATTAACACAATGCACTCTAAATCAGAAGCTTTATTGAAGCCATGGATACTCGGCTAAAACTATCAAATCTAATTAATAACAACCCGTTGTATCTTTATTGCAACAACAATGACGGCTAGCCGCTCCACCTCCAACAACTGCAATATTCAGGCGCTTTAAAGCGGACAGAAACTCACACGAAACAATACGACAAACAAACAACTATATACCTTCTTGAAATTTAGGCTTCGGGTCCTGTTTCGGCGCCATTCATGGATTAAGCTATCAAAATTTGGGAAAAATCTTCAGGTCCCATTCCAGTCCACCGCGGCGCCGCTATCCAATGACGTCATTCTTCTTCTTCTTCTGTGGATGTTTTTTGGTGGTTGGCAACCAGCATAATATACATAACCGCCACCTACTGGGACGAAAGTGCAAAATGTTAAACGACAAGCATGAAATAATGAGGACTTCACAAGTAAACTGCTTAAAGTCAAATCAAGTTTTTCTTTATTAAACCTGACTTTCTAATCTTTATCTTCAACCCAGCAATGCAGAATCTTAGTTTGATGTTTGCCTATTTTATTAACTTTCAATCAAACCTGTGTCGAGCAAATACCGTCTCTTCTTTACTATTTTTTTAAACCTTTCTTTTACAGATAAACACAGCTTTAACCACAAATATACAAATCTTTAACAAAATCTGTGAAGTTAGATGGAGAAAGCATCCTACCTCTTATAATCACAAACTCAAGAGAATGTGAAAACAGTAAAGTTCCTCGATTAATTGAGAAGACTAAGTGCTTCCCTAATATAATGTTGCAATAAAACATAAATTTATCTTAGGTCTAAACATCTTGACCAGAGGTGTCAATGAATGTCTCTCACATTATAAAAGCACAAAGTGTTGGACATTAAAGTTCACTTAAAAATTACTTCAGGTTTTAACATCCTTTACCCCTATCCAAATTTAGAAACCTTTTTATCCAGCAGGCTACAGCCAAACTAGTGATTATAATTAATATGTTAGACAACCAATTGCTTTACTTATGTAAACTGTTTAAAAATTATGTGAAATGTTCTTTAATGCCTCATGTAACTGAAGAATCTTTAGATAACTAAGCCTGCAAAGACCTTTTGTTTGTTTTCTACAAGCTTAAATCCTTGCCAATATCAATCAGCACAGTAGATCTCATCTCTTTTCAAAATGACCAAAGCGTCTATTGAGTTATTGACATCATCTTATAGCAAAACAGACAGAAACTAAAAATGTTACAATGCATGTCAAGCAACAGTGATATTTTTAAATAGCAATAATTATATAATTACAAAAGAAATATCACATACAATGACAGCAATGCATATTCACGAATCAAACCAATGCAGAAAGTATATATGATAATAAATAAACCTAATCATAAAGACAAGTCAAGGAGAAAAGCAACAAAAAAGGGAGGCATTCATAATGACTTTAAAGTTGTTTTACCTCTGGGCCAAAATGTATGTTGTGATTCACTCAAAGCCTAAACTATCACAGTAATCTTGAAGGCTGTTGCAAATACATTTAACACCTAAAAAAAAAAAAAAGACTGTATCCTGTGGCCTCACTACAGAATCGCATAGCACTCAAGTAGGTGAGCTTGCAGGTAGCCAGCAGACAGAGAAAGCTGAAGACGACTAAGTGGGAACTGTAAGGTTTAACTGCTCCACACAGATTCGATGCACGAAGACAAAAGGAAACAAGTGCTATAATAAAACATCAAAAATAATGAAATGTAATTAACTTAAACAAAAATAAAATAAAAAATAAAATAAACACAGCTATAGCCTTTCAAACTGACCAGAAACTAGCCATGTCTTGTATGTGGAGCAGAAATTTGTCAGCTGGTCACTTCTGTCTAGTTTTCTATTAAGTTTTGAGTAATACACAAAATAAACAGCTATACATTAAAGAAAAATGCTAACTTTTGCAAGTATTTGATATATATATATATATATATATATATATATATATATATATATATATATCTCTACCATATATAGAGGTCCAATCGTGAGTGCTAGCTGGACCAGTGCCCTTCATTCACGCACTGAAACAGTCTGATCAACCTGGCTTTCTCCCAATTAAGGTGTAGTTTACGTAGAGTCTGAGCAATAAAACAATGTTCACTGTTCTTTGAGTCGACTAAGATGAGCGAGAAGAGAAAGAGCGCAGCAATGAAACACAAGGATCACGCACTCTCTCCTGCATTTCTAGTGGCAACAGTTCCAAGAGGCATAGGAATGCTTCTTTCAAAAATAGCACACACCTAATATAACTTACATCATAAATAATTATTTAAAAACAACAACCACAGCATGAATGTGTTAAGAGAAAATAAATGTACAATGATGGCAAAAATAAAAAATAAAAAAATAAAACAAATGGCCAATCTTTCTGCTGTCAAAACATTATGACAAAGATGACACCATTTAGAACATAAAGTGCTACACATTTTCCCGTGTTGCTGAGGCTCACCTTTCATCAACAACAAGCCTGCTTTCTTTATATTCTAAACATGTCCCGTTTGGTGTTGACTCCCCGGGAACTGTGCATGTATGCTGAAATAATGCCGTTGACATAAAATATCGAAACAAACTGTAAAAACCAGGTACAAAAGCTACAATATAATCAAAGACCACATGAAGAGGTGTGGAAAAAGTCTTCAGTATTCACACAAAAATATCAACCGAAGTAACGCACTGGACAAGAGGCGTCCCAAGTTTATATACATATGATAAGTAAAATTGAAAATAGATTTTTCCTCTCTGTACATAGCACTGTATTCTTTCATCTTCCACTTTTAATATTTACAAAAGAACTCCTGTTCGAGGTCTCCCTTGTGCTTCAGTTCGACGTGGATCTAGTCAAGAGAGATAACGTCAGATAAGGAGCCGTAAATGGCCGCCGCCGCCGCTGCCTCCATAGAGGACCGTGACAATCCAGAAAGGCCGTGGCTGTCTCTTTCCTTGTCGCGTTCCCGTAGACTGCTGGAAGACACCAAACTGCTGGTGCTGCCGCTGTTGCTGCCTCCGTTGGCGGTCGCCAGGGTGCTGCCCCCGGGGGTGGCCGACTGCTCCCGCAGCATCTGGGAGGAGCTGTAGGGCAGGAAGCGGTTGAGGAGCAGGTCGTGGTCCTCCGATGCAGACGCTGATGCGGCCGCTGCAGCAGCCATCACCATGTTGTAATGCTTCCACGACACAAAGGGGGCATTGTTAGCCACCAGCAGCAGAGCGACGCACAGTGCAAGCCACACGACACAAAGTTTAACTCAATGTTTTAGTGGGGTTGGCTCAATTTGCTGCTTTGCCAAATCACATAGCCATTTCATTTCTTACGTCTATTTCGTGTCTACAAACTGTTTCATGCTCATGTGCTTGTAGTGCGGTGAAAATCTTTCACTTCTTTTTTAAAGAAAGATATTTCAAGTCAAACAAGATCTAATATAAAACAAAGTAATACTATCGCTTTCACTTATTATGAGAAAAAAACGGTTTTCAAAGCCAACCTGAACCTGTACGAAAAAATAAAAAGACGCCCCTGGATTTGAATCTGATTTAGATGTAAATATTATAGCACGACTTCAAACTTCCTCTGAAGACCTCCAATGTAGCTAAACTACAACAATTCTGCAGACAGGAGTGAGTCAAAATCTCTCCACACTGATGTAGAAAAGCTCATTTTCCAGCTGATGACAGCTGAGGCTCAACCACTTATTATATTTACTAGGCAATTACTTTTTTCAGAGCGGTATTAAATGTCAGTTAATTTTTTCTATTATTACATATTTGAATGAACTGACCCCGAGTAGTCTATGAAAAAATAATTTTTTTTAATTAATCAATATCAAAAGCAGCTCTAAAATGTCCCTCTGATGGGTACGAAATAACAAAACCTATAAGTAACAAACGCTAACTTATAGTAAAAAGAGTGACATTTTTTTCTTTGCAAGATGATTTTTACAGAAACATGTATAATGTATCATCATGGAGTCATTTAAATCATATTTTACAGAATAAAATAGATGTCTTTGCTTTGAATTGTCAACATCACTCAATCCAGTGATGTAAGAGGAACATGTATAGATGACTTACCTGATTGTCACTTTGGAGGAAGGAGAAAAAATTCAGATCTGTAAAAAAGAATAAAACATAAAACTTCATTCACCTTTTCAATAACACTCTGATTCAAGAAGCGGTAAAATTACTTGAAAATGCACTTTTTAGTAGATTTGATTAAGTGAAATTAGGGGAAAGCACCAGCTTTACCAGGCAGATCGCTTGTGTGATAATAGTGGCGGTAGTCCTGAATAAGAGGAGGCGGGGGAGGAATGTAGCTGCTCTCCACAGGGGGCATGCTGGGAGTTCTGGCCACGGGTGAAGCTTGGCTGTGCAGGTTCAACACTCTGATCACAGACAAATGCAGCACAAAATCAGAGACATTTCATGTGCATCTCACTAAATTAAAAGAGTCGTAAAGTATTTCAATTCAGTATTTTCAATTCAAAAAGGGAAACTCACTAGATGTGTATTAATCCATAAACTGTAAGCCATAATCCTCAACATTAACCAAAATGACTACTTGAAATATGTTGCTTTATTTGCCAGTAAACGAGTTTCACTCCTTGAATTAAATTACTAAAATAAATCAATTTTTTTGATGATCTTCTAATTTTCGGGATGTTTCTAAACGAAAAGTAACAAAGTGATTTTGAAGCTTACCCTTTGTTTGGAGGCGGGGAGACTGGAGAGAGCGAGGGACAGACCCGTTTGGGAGGCGGCTCGTCGTCCTGCTCGTCTTCTGAGGAGGTATCCAGTGTCAAATCAATCACATCCACTTTCTTGTTGTTGTCGTTAGACGACCCTCGTTTATGCTCATGCGAGTCTGTTCTGGACAAATCTACCCACAGAAAAGCAAAATGAAAGAAACTTCACTCTGTGTTCAAGGATCGATATTGGATTGTGAGGCTGCGGAAAGCGCGAGCTACGCACCGCTGTCCACGCCGTTGTAGGACGCCGACACCTCCTGAACTTCTTTCTTTGACTTCATGGGGGCCCAGCTTCCATCTTCCTTGAACTGGATTTCGTCACAGTCAGAGCAGCTGTTCAGGATTTCCATGAACAACCTGTGAAAACAAGCAACCTGTAAACACCTTTGACACAAGCTTCACCCAAAATGTTAACTCTCATCACAAATTAGATCAATTTCCTTCAAGACACAATATATATTTATTAGTAGCGCTGGGCAATATGTTGAAATGTAATAGCTGGTGCAATATCCCTACGTACAACAGTGTAATCTCTGTTGCAATATTTAAGAGGTTGTTATAACTGGAGCCCAATACATTAATGGTCTATGAGGTAAAATAATATATTTGGCTGATTTGATGGATTGTATCTTCATGACCACGATGGCCGCAATTTAGTGATGGAAAAGAAAGAGAGAGAAATTGGGATTACTTAGATTAATCTCAGATGAAATAATCTCTGGAATATTCAACAACAATATGGCAATACACATGTTTTTCGAGAATGATGCAACAGGCCACACGTTACACAAACTTTAGACGACGGAAAAGTGCTTCTTACATTCTGAAGACAATGAAAATATTCTGCCGTGTTATTCCGCAGTTAGCTCCACAATTATCCTTTCCAGACATAATCTACCAGGATGTAGAGTTAAAAAAATCAATAATTTTAAGTTTTATGAACAAAATTAAGGGGACAGGGCGTTCTAGTCATAGCAGATATTTTAAACCAAATTTTAGAAGATTTGACATGAATTATGATGGCGCTCACCCGTCTATAATAAGATGCTCATACGGAGCCTTCTTGTCACAAACCGGACACACCCACGTCGGCTTCTTCTCGTTCATTTGGATATAAAGTGTAGCATCAAAGCACTGTAGGTGTGAGCATGTCATTGATCGGCAAGGGATGGTCAGCCTCATCTTCCCCAGCTGTACAAAGAGAAACACAAGAAAGCAGCAGTTAGTAAAGTGTGACCGACTCCTAATAATAAACCCCAAAAAACACTGTTTGGTTCTTTAATATCCGTCCCTCTTTTTGATACCATGTGTTACACAGCACAAATAATTTCCTTTTTAAACTAAAACCCTATTGTGATCACAAAGACTTGAAATGAGCGGGATAGTACTGAAGAGTATTTACAGGACAAAGGAGAGAAACTCGTAGACTGGTGGTCGCTATCTCACTCTCTGGATCCGCTGTCAGCTTCTCCTTGACTGTCAGATGGAAAGAGAGAAACAAAAAGGTTAAACGTGGACTTAGCCATCTATATTTACCACAAGCGTATTTATGTAACCTTCAGTAAACAATGAAGTTAGATTAACATTTAGATGGATTAAAGCAACAAAAAGGAGCACTAAACAACTGAAATCATACAGTAGTTTAGATACGGTAAACATATGTTGTATATACCACTTTAAAGGAACTATAGATCTTCAAAGCCAGTGTGAAGAAAGGTTCAGAGACGGAGGATGGTTCATTGTAACATTTACAAACAGACCTAGGTGATGTAAACAATGTAAAATATGGTTTAAATTCATTCCTCTTTAACGTGTTCTTAAAATTCAAGCGGTTTTGATGTGTTTTTCTTTGAAAGGTTTACAGCGGAGGGTCTTTAAATCCAGGCCCTCATCCTGCCAAATTTAGACACGTCTCTGGTCCAACACAGGACAAGTCAAGCAGCTGAGTTACCTCCTCAGTCTGCAGTCAACTTCTCCAGTCCTGCTGCTGACCTCATTATTTGACTCAGGTGTGTTGAAGCAGAGAAAGAACAAAGGCTACATTCACGCAGCAGGCAAACGCGACCCAAATCTGATATTTTTCACCACATGCGACCTATATCCGACTTTTTCATGGAAGTCTGAGCGGCCCAATTCTAATCTTTTCACACACACACACACACACAAAAAAAAAAACAAATTAATAAAAATATTTGTACCACTTCCATATGTGGTACAAAATCGGACATATATTCAATTGTTGTCAAAACTTCTGCAGCCAGAACGGTTGTGTCACATTTTATCCAAACTTTATGTCACTTAAGACATGCCTCATAAAACTGCACCAGACGAAACGAGACACAGTAAATCTGGAGGTAAACAATGACTGAAAATTATAATTATGACTTTATGGAATAAGTCTTTGTCAGTGAAGCACATCACAATCACACCATTCCTACAGCACAGCCGTTTTTAATTAAAACTGGAAAAGGTCTTAAACTTTTTGTGCTGTCATAAAAAAAAAAGCCATTTCTTCTATAGAATCCATTATGACACCGTCACATATAATCTACCTAGACTTGGCTGAAATTGACTTAAAAGCTTGTGATGAGCCTCAGAGTGCTCTTGCACGCTGCACCAGCAACATTCATAATGCACAATAAGCCTTTCTTGGCTTTCAACACAAGATCAGAATTTGAAACAAACAAACAAAAAAAAAAAAAACTCAAAATTTGATACTTTGATAAATACACTGCTCATATATGGCTTTAAACTAAGTTGTTTCTATTGCCCAACATTTTTTTTACTATTAAGCAAAGTGTTTACTTACTCAAGGCTCTTGAGTGGTCAGGATTCCTAATCCCTTTGGCCCGTAGTCTTTGTAACAACACTGCAGATGACTGCTGTCTTACCAAATACACCGCCATAGAAAAACACTGACCACAAAAAAAAAACAAATGAAAACACAAATGTCATGCAGACGGCTCACATACTGCTCCATTATTATTATTTCTCAACATTCTCATACAGTAATCTCACCCTTCCGATTTCTGATGTCCAAGACACCACAATTGTGTTGGGGACAGTGGTAGATAGCCGGACAAGAGACGTTATGTTGATGGGACGACTGGGCCTTTTTGGTTCCACCCCATTTTTTGTGGGAGGGAGATAGCCCTGCAAACAGAAAAAAAATAAAACACACAAAACATTTATTTCACAGTAGCAAATTAAAAAGAAACCACACAAAACTCTAAACCATAGCAAAATAAGGCTTTTACTTACTGGGAGATTACATGGTTTGCCATTAACCTTCACACACAAATTGGGGGGGAAATGGTCCTCTTGCGGACAGCTTGTCTCCGATAAGCAAAATCTGAAAATGATAAAAAGAAAAAATAAATCATTAAGGTTTACACAAATGTCTTAAGTAACTGAAAATGTATTTTATTGCTGTTTATAGAGATATGAGAGTATTTTTTTTTACCAAAATGACAGTGACTTGGTGAGAGACTAATGTAAAATGGGATATTTTTTAAAGCGCAAGTTTTCAGACTGTCAGGCACAAAAAAGGCTAAGGGACTTCTCAAAAACCTTTTCATCAGCGTTTTTCTTCTTTCCTCTCTTCCATATAAAGATCAGATTCACGGAGTGGATGCCTCCATCAACAGATTTTCTCTTGAAGAGTTACGGTGGTGGCTGTTCTGATTGACACTCTCCTGGCTCAATGTTTAAGTGAGCCAGGGAATTTTGAATCCATTATTTAGTAGGTTTGGAGTTATCTCCCGCTCCATTTTCAGGCAGAGAACTAAACATTCCTCCATCTTCAACACTTGTGACATTGTTTTACAACTCAACTCCGCTTTAAACTCCTCTACAACTATTTACTGACCCGTCTGGTACGCTCCTTAGTCTTCAGGATGCTGTTTGTTTATCTACTAAACAAGTGGATTCTGATTTTTTTGTGTTTTTAAAATGGCAAAATGTAGAAAAGTTGCAGACGTATGAACGGTTTTAAATGAAACTTGAACTTACAAGCAGGATTTCAGTGATGCTTTTATTGTTTTTGTATGTTTTAGAACCAGAGCTTAAAGCAGAAACGTGTCAAACACTAGACTGATACTCAAAATAAAGTGTGTGTTAGAAATACCTTAGTTGAACTTGAACAGCAAAGTCACATTTGGTCCCAGATATGTCCCTGAAAAGTTAGAATAAACAGTTTATTACACAATACAATGACAAAAACAAATTCAAAGTTAGGAATTTTACACGTTGAAATAGCAGCGGCACTATACACTGTTTGTGGCTTTATTTTCTCACTTACATTGAGCTGCTAATTTGTTGAACTTGCTGTGGCGTTAATGCAAAGGCATAACATGCTTCCTGGAAGCGCTGACTGTTGTCTGAAACTTTGAGAAAGAAGCCAGAAACACAAAGTCAGACGAGAAACTACAGAAAGTGTTTTTTTTTTTGTGCACGTCTCTCACGACTCATTGTTTAGCTGTACCTGTGATCTCAAAGCTTCACTGGTATGCTCAAGCAGGAGGAATGTTATAACTATAAACACAGCTGAGCAGCTGGTTGTGCACTCACCCAGGCTTGTTGGCTTAATGAGCTCATCTAGAACATCGTAGAATGGCAATCTCTGGAGCTTGACGTCAGGGTGTACAGGGTGAAGAGCGGAGGAGAGATGAGGCAGACTCAGCTCATGCTTAGGTCCGAGAAGAGAAACAGGCAGCAGTGGTGAGGGAGAGCTGTGGCCGTCGAACCCTAGCTGAGCGAGGCCAGTGGGCAAGCTGGACGCAGAATGAACAACGGGAAGAGCTAGGTCCACTGGCGAAACCATTTTGGTTGGGAACCGCCGTCTGTAGAGTTCTTTGATCTTCATCTGCACAGCAGGACTGCAGCCAGCCTTGAGTAGGTGGAGAGCTTTGGTCAAAAGTTCATGTTTGCGCCCATGCTTATTCCGTCCTGCATAGCCCAACAACACTTGGAGCTCAGAAACTCGAAGGCTCATTACCATTTGCTGGTGGAAAAATGAAGAGTGGGGAAAAGGATCTATAAAAACTGGGAAAACGCAGTTTTCTAATCCACTATGAAACAACTACCTCTATTAAATAACCTGTAGCACTTTTCCTTCTTTAATATGAAACATTTATAAAACAGAGATGCTTCCATCAGCCTTCTCCTGCCAAGTTTAATATAGAGGTAGTAGTTTGAAAGAAATGATCAGATTATCCATACTTTAGCTTTAACTAATTTTTATTTAACTCCTTCAAAAGACCATTATAGTATGTTACTGGTTAATGCATTGAGGCCAAAGATTGAGTGAGTTCATAGTGTTGATGCATATCATGAATAAGGGTAAAAAAAACATAGCCTTTTATATATTTGTCCTGCCAATCACCAGTCGCACACGATCAAGGTCAATTTAGCATATTCTAATCTCTGGATATGTCATCTTATTGATATGTGAATTTAGACAATTCTGAAGTTGCTATAAACCTGGATTACTTTATCTATTTCACGAGGAAACGAATCTAGATGTAAACACTCTCATAGCACCTTAGACCTAGCCTGAAATAATGCATAAATGTACTTTATACAAAGAATAGCAGGTGTTTTATTATCAATGCATAAGTTTCCTTTTTTCTTCTCCAAAAATAAATGTCGCTTAACAGCTACAATTATGTCAAAGTAAATGTCTATTATAAAGCATTATAAAGCAGGAGCAGCATTTCTGCACATATAAGTATGGTTTCATAAAATTAAAGAAAGCACTTATCATGCGGAGGGTACAATAACAATGTATGAAAAAATGATGGAGAGGAAGATAACAGATTTAGTTAGCATACACTAGCTACCACTGGCTATGCGATGCTGTCATTTGCCCAAAAAGAAACCAGATTCTTCTTTTTTCTTTTACCTTCGCCATGTATTTTTAAATGGATATACTTCCCAAGCATTATAATATAACCAGATCTGCTATCAGAGACTGCCATTCCTAGAAAAAGGAAGCAATATTTCAAGTTAACATGCGCTTCTCTTCCAGGGAATAGACATGGCCCATTTTTCAACAGATAACCGTTCGAACATTAGTGTAAAAATAATAAAAGGTAGCCGAAACTGCTGCTTTGTTAAATTTAAAACACTGGCAATCGTTACGGTTTCATCCTTAATGAAAGCGATATATTAGATTTTGATCAGGAGAACGGCAGGGTAAATCTAACGGGAACGTCGGCAACAATAACAAAGCTAATGCTAACGAGCTTAGCCGCAAGCTAACGGTATTCTGGTTCCTTCTGCTCAGTTATTTATTCATCATATACTTCCATAACAACCCAACTTAGCTCTTTGCTGTCGAATACCAAGAGTGATGTGGCGTTAAAATGCAAGTTTCAGTGACTGAAACATCTACTCGGCAAGCTAATATACAGAGCAGGTTTACCTTCAGTTCCGCACTCTCCGCCATCTCGTTACATTAGGTGCGCATGCGCAACACAGTCTCCCTCAAGGGACTGAATGTTGTTCTGCGAATCCCAGAAGGGGGCGCTGTTGCAACGCTAGTAATCACTCGCATGTTTTTAAAACTACGAAGGAAAGCATAATTGAATAAAACGGACACAGTGTTAGTGGTTAAATAGTTTTAAACTAAAATTGACTATGTTTTGTCTGAATGATCTCATTAGTTATGAGACGTGATAATCCTAGGCGAAAATATTACGATTTGTAGGTTACCAACAGACGATAACGTAGAACGCTGGGTGACTTTTTTTGTTTAAAAAAAAAATCAATATATTGGGTCATTTTATGTTACTTTACGGTACCACAATATACAAGTGAAAACTTACTTCGACCAATCAGCAACATATTGATTTTTTTGAGTCTAACAAAGCAGCACTTACGCAGGATAATATTATTGGGTTGATTTTAATAATTAAAATACAAAGAACTGAGAGTAATTACCACACCGACGCCAAAATGTGCCACATTTCTTCAATAAAATGATTTATTCTTCAACAATGAAAACAAATGTTATAGGGACAAATAATCTACTCTTATTATAATATATGGACGCAGATGCACAGATTTCCTCCTCTAAATTCTGTGTTTTTTCCATCCGTTAAAAACCAATACAACTACCAAACAGTGTATTTTGCTGTAATTTCCCGTGACTCATTTAAAGTGCATTTAATTGAATGTGAGTGACAGACCTAAAAAAAAGAAGACAAAAAGTAATAGCATACTTATTTATAATAGAGGAAAAGGGAGAAAAAATATTTCTGAACAAAAAAACCCCCGTAGATAATTAATTTCAAGATAGGACATTCACTGTCATTGCACTTTGCCACAAAAATGAAATGAGTTGATGACATAATTTTAATAAAACAAATTACAACGTATGCAGGAAGGTTTCATAAATACTGAGGGTGGTAATACACTTTTTTTTCAATCTTACAAATAATTACAGGTTGGTCTGTTTTCAGTTCAGTTCCTCCAACTTTCCGCTGATGTTTATATTCCACTTTTTTTATTTTTTATTTTCCAACCTCTGGTGTTTAACACGAGCGGTAGATGGATCCTTTTCACCCATCATGTGCCTTAATAAATATGTCCAATACTCAAGGCGGCAGCAGAGGAGATTTGAATGTGCAGGATCCCGTGCAGTGGCGAGGAGTTAACATCTTACAGGAAAAATGGTGTAAAGCGTCGTGAGCTTCTAGAAGGAGAAAAACAATCAATAGTGCACAAGCAAACGGCTCCGGAAAATTATAGATACGTAATATCCGTGCTCTTATTTACAATAAAATATGGTTGAGATACATTTTAAAAGACCACATAGCAATTCACGTTTTTTGTTGGCGGATTGATCATTGCTTTGAGGGTAATATCCTTCAGCTATGCCATGAGACAGGACGCAATAGATCTTATTTGTAAATTAAATTTTAGTAAACGTATACAAGATCTTGAAAACGGACAGAATGAGGCAAATTGAGTTGAAATTAAACTACTCACACATCTTTGAACACTTCTGCTGTGAGTTTTTTCCTCATTTGCTTTATTTCTCTCACCTCTGACGATGTGAAGCTGCTGCACCATCTCCTCCCTGTAGGAAAGCTCCCTTTTCATTTGATCTTGAAAATTATCTATGAAGTAAAAGTCAACATTAAATTTGGTGTTCCGCTCGGATGTAAGACAGAAAGAAAGAAAGAAAGAAAAAGAGCTAAAGAAGCAAAACATAACGTCAGTCAATCACAAATAAATCACAATTAAAAAATACAAATAAGCATATAGCTAGGTTTGCTTCACACTTTATTAACGTATTTGTTATAATTTTTGGTTTAGATAAAACCAGGAAGCTTGCACAAATCGGATTGCAACTGTCAGACTGTTTAACAGCAGATAGAGGGCGCTGTTCCAAAGCGAGAGCTACAAAAAAATCTTTTGAACTGTGACCAACGTCAAATTTGCGTTCTAACAATTTTGCGTGTTTTGATAATGAACACTGGTCAGAAATGTCGCATGACTACAGTTAATTATAGATTTACATTAGAAGTGGAAGACGGATATATTGTTGGGAATTATTTAGAAAGCAGATCATGTTTACAACTAATTCGAAGAAATTTGAAAAAAAAGTGTAATGTTACGATTTTTTTAATTTTGTAAGTTTTTGTTGTTGTTGTTTGCAGAAAATATATCCTTTTTTATCAGAGTGATTGAATAACTCGAACTTTAGTTTGAAACAATGTATAATATCACATGAGGAAAAAGCAGTATTTACATGTTATTAAACCAGAGTTCAAAAATATAAAATAAGGGCAAAATAAATAAATAAATAATTAAATAATAATAATAACCGCTCAAGTCAGATTTTAAGAGCGGTTTAAGCCTTTACCATAACGATTTAACGGTACTAAAAGATTTGCACATTATAAAACAATTTTAAAGATCAGAATTACCCTCTTTAATCAACGTGTTTCACAAAGGCTGAAAAATGTTATTTTTACTGAAAAAGTAATGGGAATTCAACGACTGTTTCTTCTCCAAGAATATAGCACAAAACCACTTTTAAATGGTATTTGGTTTGTCATTTTTTTCACAGGAAAAATAGAACATTGCAGAATTTGCAAATGTGTTAGAGAGAAATACAGTGCTGTTATTTTTGTCATTAAAATCTTTTTTTTTTTTTTGTTCATTAATTTTAGTTTCTTATGTGGGGATAGATTTGTGATAGTTTGAGAACCAGCCAATAGATTTTTCTGATGTATGCAGTTCCAATAACACATTTTAACAGTTTAACAACCCAATTCATGTCAGTGACAAAAAATAAATAAATAAATAAAACAAACGTATTGTTTTATTATAAACCCTAAAATAAATCTTTTGCACTTGGTGGAAGACAGAAATCCAAATCATCGCTGCGTTAAAGTGTCTTCTTACCTTTCAAGTTCTGAAATTCGCGTTCTAGCTTTTTCCTCAGCTCGACTTGTTCCAACAGCTGCTTCTGCAGCTCCTCTAAAAAAGCAGGCAAAAGAGGAAGCGTTAGTGGAGGAGCAGAGAAACAGGCGCTGGGAGCCTTTTGCGTCACATCTAGGACAGCTTTCTATTTTTAATCACAACGATGATGAGGATATCATCATCATCGCCATCACTTAGGATGGAAATTCAGAGCACAGCTTCCTGAGACTGTTAGTCTAAAAATAAAGGCACGAAAAGAAAGCACACCCCTCCTCTTTTGAGGACATCTGAGGATATCAGAAGCTGATCAAGCTGAACCTGAATGTTCGAGATACTTGTTTTTGTTTTTAGGTTGTTTTTTTTTCCTTCTAACTATTTTGGTTTCAGTTTGATTCAATTTATCTGTATCATGACAAAATATTGAAAATGTAATTGTTATTACTCAAAGTACACTGCTGCTACCACGATTAGTATTAAGAATGATAATTATAAAAACAGTCATCTTACCCTTTGCTAAACTTTGGAACTCTCTGCGTAATGGCGCACCTCTGGCTGCCGCGTCCTCACCTGGATTCACACAAATGACGTTTCAGCATTTTTATTATTCTGAAAATAAAGCGTGCATACATACAGCAAAAAACTTAATTTTTCTCTCTCACGAGCTCACCCTCATCCGGCTCTCGCTGGCTCTCGTCGCTGCTTTGTCCATTAAAAGATTTTGTTTCAATCTCCTCCACTGTGGAAGACGGCTCTTCCTTACTTGCGCTCTCGTCTTGAAAAAAAAGAGACGAAAATTAAATGAATATAAGTAAAAAATATATATATTTGCCTTTTTGCCGCATTTTTTAAAAGTTAAAATAATAATAATAATAAAATAATAATAATCTACCGTTTGTAGTCAGTACTGCCGTCAGGTAATTGGTCGGTCTGAATTGATACGGGCTGCTCCTTTGTTGCAGCTCAGCTCTGTCCGGTGTGTAAACCTGAAGCAAAGGCGACCGAGCTCAGGACAATATTGGAAATTCAGTAAAAAAAAAAAAAAAAAAAAAAGAAAGAAAGAAAATAAATAAATAAATAAATATAAAAATAATATTTGATTGAACTGTACTCAGTTAAACTTTTTTAATATATTTATTTCAAAATAATTGGATTATTTGTGACTGTTGTTTTTTCTTTTTTCTTTTTTGGGAATTATTATCAAATTTCCTCTACATGGAAAAAAAATTAATAGAAAAAGTAGAGACATACTACAAACAAATAATTATTTAAAAATCAGCAAAAAAAAATCTAATTTATTAGTAGTTTTGACTCACTTCTGTGAAAGGTGCTGCTATGTGGTGCTCTGGTAGCTGTTTGCTCTGCAGCTCTCTGTCAGAGGACTGGACCACCTGCAGGTTCATTTTCTGCGCCTCATTCTCGCTTCCCTCTGCGCCCTTTGAGGACTCCGAGTCTTTCGGTGAAGGGCTGTGCGCCAAACCAAGAGGAGTCCGAGGCCCGGGGTCCTCCTGCTCCTCTGGCGATCTGTTTGTCTCCACGTCCACGTCCGGCTCGCCCTCGCTGTCCACGCACGGGGACACAGACCGGTAGCTGGAGCTCTCGCTTAAAAAATCAGGTGATAAGTAGCCGGTACGGCAGCCGTTGTACGCGCCCCTGCTGCCGTACAGCTTGGCGATGCAGTCGGCGTCTTTAATGACGGGCCTGAAAGCGGACACGTAGCTGAGTTTCCGCGCCGGGAGGCTCATTCCCTCCGCGGGCCGCCCCTCGTCCCCGGATTTGTCGTCTTCGTTACGTATGGACTGGGTGCTGGAGCAGCGGTCGGTGTCCACCACGCTGTCTTTGGACGTGTTGGTGCTGCGGTCGCTGCTTTCGGAAATGTCCACCTCTGTCTGCCTAGGACACAGCAGCTCAGGAGGGGGCTTGTGTGGAGTCTGTGCGTACGGGGGCATGGGCAGCGGGCCCGCAGTGGGCCAGAACATGGGGAAGGAAGGGTAGGCGCTGTCCTTGGTGCCAGGCCACAGGACTCCCGGCAGCCCCGCTTTGCTCTGTTCGC